CAGCAGAAAAGAAGGGTATCTATTCCTGGCCCCACCTTCCCCACCAAACTGTGCAGGCCCCAACCCCAAAGCCCTCCCTCTACTCTTGGGAACTGCTAGGACACTTCAAATGAATGTAAATGAAATTACAAGATTTTTTGAAGAAAAAGACAACCAACCGAACAGCTGAGTTCATGAACCAGAGGACTGAGGACTCTGCCACCTAAGCAATGCTGACCGGTTCTGACTCCAGAGGGCTTCCTCCTTGAGACCCGAGAGTTCACAGTAAGGGGGACCCTTCCCCACCTTGATGGGCACCCGGAGCTAAGCCCCCAGGACCTCCGAGAGTGCCAGCTTCCCGCCCACCTCCAAGGTCCTTGCCACTCACAGCCCTGCCAGGCCTGGCCCGAGGTGAGCAGCACCAGCTCGGCGTTGTCGGGAACGCTGGGGAAGTAGTCTTCGGTGAGCTCCGTGCCATCCTCATACAGGCACAGCCGGGAGCCGCGCTCAGGGAGCTGCAGGGGCGGGAGAGGGGACAGGAGGAGGAAGGGTCTCAAGACGAGGGCTTTTCATCTGCAGGCCTCACAAACGACCAGAATGAGTTGTGTTTAAAGAAGCAGGCTCAGGCTGCTGCCTGTATACCACAGCCACGCCAACGCCCAGGCAAGGACAAGGGAGCCGAGCAAGGGCGCCTGACTGCGGGCCGTTCTAAAATTCGAAGAGTCAGGAAAAACATACAACGGGTGGCGACTGCTGGCTCTGCAGGACTCACCCTTTTAAAATGAGCTCCTGAGGGTACTTCAAATAGAGCCTGTCTTTGACACCGCGGCCTCCCTGCTACCAGGAGCTGAACACCACCACCCCCAGCACACAGCTGCCAGGGCGGTGCCGGCACACGAAGGAAAACGGTTGGATGCCTCTGTGCACAAGTGTGGCCGGCACGTGGCACTGTTAATTTGCTGGAGTCTGGTTCCCTGTTACTCTGCACTGGTCAGTTTTAGGCATTTTATGGCAACTCCCACCCAACCCGTACCGACCCCGGCAAAGCACACCTGGTAACCCTAGTACTGGTCCAAAAAAGAAAACCACCCTAGAATAAGGTGACGATTGCAATCCCCAGCTGCGAGGGCTGCAAGGGCCTGCAGAGCCCACCCAGTCAAGGCTTTCATTTTACGCCAGGGGAAGCTGAGGCCGGACAGGCAGAGCAGCCGTGACCCCGCGTGCCAGCACCTGGCACTCAACCCGGGTTTCCTAGCTCTGATGCAGGGCTGTCCTGCCCGAGCGGTGGGAAGAGGGAAGGGGTGATCCAGGTCGCCCCCCAAGCTCCCTGCGCTCTAAAGCCAGGCTCAGGAACCCCAGGCTGCGGGGGCCGGGGGGCCTAGCGGCTGAGGCGAACGAAAACTACCCGCCCCGGGCGCCGCCCGCACCCTCCGTTTTGGAAGAGGAAAAGCAGCACCTCCTATTCTCCCCACACACCTCCCCGGCCGGCAGTCCCCGCCCAGCCCGGCGGGCACCTGGAAGCGGAGACAGCCCTTGTGCAGCACCTCCTGGCAGCTCCGGCCAGCCACGCCGAACTTCCTCTGGCTGCGCAGGGCCCGCAGCTTCACGCTCTTGGGCTTCTGGAGCATTGCAGATGTGCTCAAGGCCTCAGGGTCCCGCGGGTGGCGGCACCAGCTGGCTGGCTGCTCAGATCCGTCCTCGCCCTGACCGCAGGGGTCTGCGCCTGGTGAGCTCTGCAAGCTGGCACAGGCCAGGCGCGGATCCCGGAAACTACATTACCCAGAAGGCCTGGGAAAAGTGAGGCCCGACGTGGTCTTGTGCGCAGGCGTCGCCCCACGGATACTACATTACCTTACCCAGAAGGCTCGGGAAGGCAAAGGCGCGACACCACCTGGTGTGCCCCAGGTGCCGTGGCCCCGGAAACTACACGACCCCGAGGGCCCGCGAAGCGTGGGGCCTCCCCT